GGACATATTTTTCAAAATCTCACCTAGATTTTCCTCTAAAATTTTTTTACTTAATGAGAAGTGGGTATAACTCACCTTGATTGAGTTCTGGATGGTCAAATCTAATCAAGGCTAGAGCGTTGCTAACATTTTTTACAACAGCGAAGCCATGTAGTAGACCCTTCCGCTTGAGGGCTAGCCCTAGCGCAGAATTACGAAATTCCTTGGACTCTTCGTTCAACACATCAATCGCAAAGGGGAGGGCGGTTCCTACATCCACTTTATCAGGACGAATATTGAATTTGAATACAGCAGAACATGTACCGAATGTAACAGTAACGAGACAGCAAAGAATAAGGGTTGCTAACATGGCGTGGATCAGATGTTGGCCGCCGGCGGAAGAATGAATGACCAGAGTGAGAACAGCTGTTCAGTCCGGTCAAAAATCGATTCTCTCACATGAAGGACGATGGACTTCTGGTAAAAATGTTGGGGGCCAGCTGTTTAGTAAAACATCTAACTAGTACCATCTGGTAGGGAAGGATAGGCGCTTCTTTCTCTCCCTTGATATACTGATTGAGATGCCTATGACGGGAAGGAAAGTGAAGAATCTGAATTATTCCGATTGGCATCGGTAAATTGGAAGATATTGGACTCTAGGCGAATCAAACGGACGGGACACAAATGGATAAGATAGTACACCATCAAAATAAGATGCGAAGGGGGCAAAAAGAACGGAAGAAAAAGAACCATTCTCAACAACTTGTTCTACTTGTTCAAAAATTTGTTGTTTTCTTGAAGATTTAGTGACTTCAATTCCCCCATATACTCATTCATATGGTGGGCAAGAGCCATAAGGTAGCGCTTGTTTTTTGAACCAACTGGCGGGGAATTACTGTCTGACAGAACCCTGAGTTATGGACTTGGTGTTATTATCACATGACTTAGCTCGCATTCATGCTACTGATGTAACCCAACTAACCTGACCAACAGGTATGTGGGCTCGGAATAATTCGCATGCGGGCTCTGAAGTGTTCGAAAGCGTTTCTTCGAACTTGCATTTAGAACAGAGTGAGATTAGGGAAAACAATTTTTTCAAAATGCCTCACCAGGTATTCTTGCGACGCCTCTTTTCTGGAAAGTCTGATTTCAGTCTGGTATTCAAAAAAAAANAAAAAAAAACTGACGCATTCTAATTGTGAAATTGTCAATATGATAACGAAAACGAAAGATTCATATTTGACGTTTTGCAGGAGGAAAACAAGTTTTACTTTGTTTTATTATTAGTAATAGTATGACTCCACTCCCGCTACTTCCTTCGTCGCTTTCCCTTGGTTAGTTACTAAGCATTGCTATGTCTTCGATGGCATTTCAGGTTTTCGGATGAGTAGCTACTTACTGTTTCAAAACTACTATGTACGGGAATGGAAGCCAGGCCTTACTTTACAACTTTTTTGAGACAAGAAAGCCACATTTTGGCGAACGTGAGCCATTTTTTGGGAATGTGAGAAGTTTCCCATAGGTGTATACGACTTTGCGGAAATGGGTAGCAATTACGCCCCCTTACTCAGCTATGTGAATGCTAAAAGCAGGAATTACTATTGTAGTACTGCTGATGAACAATGCCGTACCACCTATAAAAGATGAGCGCCAGAAGTGAGCAACATCATTTCTCGACATTCACCACAGTCCTTCTACGGAACTTCCTCAAGAAGGACTGTGATGAGGGACCTTTCTCAGTTTCTTGTGTTACAACTTTTTGAAACTCAGAATTCGCGTAAAAACAATTCTGTATCTCTCTATGCCTAGGCACTCAGCCTATAGTACATATTTCATTTTTCCTGAATGAAATCCTAAACTTGAAACGCTCATACGCTATTGTTTAGTCTAGCTCATTCAGAAACACCCACATGTCGTCTTGCCTGCTCATTCTCTTTGTTGTGTTGCCTGTATGCTCAGGGAATCTGGTAAGTTGCTTGTACATTATGGACTTCGAAAATTTGGCAGTGTCAAGGCATATGAAAGAGAGCGTAGACGACATTAGAAAATGTCGCTAATAGGCGAGATTGGGTCACCCAGCATTTTCTCGAGCCGTCTAGCCTCTCCACACACGACACTGGTCTACAAGATGGGACGGTGCATGCTCTAGCGGTCTTAGCTGCGCTTTAGCGTGGTGATACTGCTCTCTCCCTGCTGAAAACCCTTACACTGTGACATATTCTATATATGGAACTACGAACTAGGTTTACAGGTCCCCGCTGCTTTTAAGAAGATCATTGTTGACGTCTTGGTGTTCCCTGAGTTTTCATTCCACCATTCATTTATTCCCTTGCGACGCTGAGTGAAGACGACGTCAACTGTATCCAACCATAAGAAAGGGTTGCACTACTCAGTAATCAACTCTTTAGTGGTTGCCACAAAATTATCGCTGAACGGCATTTCATTTAGTTCCCTGGTTGCTCCTATTTCCTCCTTTCTGTTAAGCGTCCAAAGCAAAGAGTCTGAAAGTCTTAGTGGTCGAATTCCAGTTCTCCTCGTGTAATACGTGCCTTCAAACATGTTATGGTGGCTGCAAATCAGGAAGCTGTGATTGTCAACGAACCTGTGCTTTACCATGTGGAACCCCTGCCCCTGTGGCACCAGCAATTACTACACTGACTAGTTATGTAAGTTGCACAAAGGGCATGTGAATAATTTCGGACTTATTCGCCTCTATGATGTTTAGCGCCCATCTGGAGATGGAAAGCCGGAACCGTTTGTTCAGAACCTGTGCACCACTTGCATACAGTCCTGCCAAGCGAGCTGCAAGTCCTACAACTGTAACTGCCAACAATCATGCGCTAACATCTGTGGAGCAACTCAAGTAAGTTGAGAGTATATAGCATTAGTGCAGGGTTAACAAATTTAAGAAAGTTGAAGCAAGTAAGACGAGAAGCTCCGACAGGTAGAGCGAACCTTCGAACCTTTTCTTCTGTCTTGGTCCGGTCACAGAGCGCATGTGCTGCCTACGCTGAACAAGCGCCTAAAAATGAAGGAATTCTACAGGTTTTGGTTTGGGTTCCTACGAAAAAAGGCTCAAGCGTGGAGTTGGTGCAGTGGCAAGTGGTGCACTATCACACACGTATAGTCATTTGTTGGGAACCGGGACCGATATCCGCCTAATCCAACTGAGCCCTCCATTCGCTCGGGGGTCGGTTAATTGGCACCACCCTTGTCTGATAGGATAAAAGCACTGACTTGACATTGACTAGTTACCGACACTCATTGTATAGACCATCTGTGCACTCAAACACCCCTACGATTCAGAGTGGAAGTTAGGTGCTAGGGCGCATCATAAAACATGGTTGATTGACGCCGAAAGACTTCTTTACTATTCAACGATGGGACTCATTACTAATGCGGAACGAGCCTAGCATGTTTCTTGAGGGATTTTTTATCCAAAATAGAGCAGCATAAGAGCAAAAAATGATAATCTTTTTCCCCTCCCCTTCCTACGAGTCCCCAGATGAGAGAAACTCCTCCTGAGCACCCTCAGACGGAGCTTCCTACGGGATTGATCAAGGGTGAAGGACTTTATTCTCTGTTCCTTTATTAGAAAGACTCAATAAAAGGTTTTTTAGACAACATGTGGCTCATGTGTACAGTCTTGTCAAGCAAACTGTAAAGCATACAATTGCAATTGTCATCAGTCATGTGCTAATGTATGCGGAGGGACTCCAGTAAGTGCTATCAATTGAACTTTCACCTGGAACTAGAATTTTACAACTTGAACCTTACTTGGAACATTACTCGAGATATCCAGGTTGCTCAGACTTCCTGCAGCTCTTGCATGCAGTCGTGTCAAACGAGCTGCAAGTCCTGCGATTGCCATCGATCCTGTGCCAACGTGTGCGGAGAAGTTCACGTAAGTTTCCGAACAGAATTCTTTAGCGAGCTGGAGCACCAGAAAAGCTTGTGCTCGCTATTCTTTCCAACCAAGATGACTACACCGAAAAGTCCAAATTTGTACGGGTTCGACTCCGAGGTGGAGGTTTTACCCACAACTCGTCATCTTTGGGAGACTAATATTTCAATCACTTCAAGTAACATAATTAGGTAAACACCTGTGCATCCTGCCTACAATCGTGCCATTCAAGCTGTAGATTTGGCAGTTGTAACTGCCAACAGACCTGCGCAGTTCCATGTGGAATTCAGACTCAGCAAGTACAACAAGTAGAAACGGTGCCGCCAGTAAAGGTAAGTCCTACAGACCCATTGGGACTGCGTGCGCGTGATGTTCAGATCATGATATGAGGCACCATGGTATACATTTTTGAAAAAGTTGTATAAGAAGAGTAATTTAGCCCATCTCATGCAATTCCTGCCTGCAAACATGCCAAGCAGGCTGTAAACCGTACGAAACCTGTAATTGCCAGCAGTCATGTGCCAATGTCTGCCAAGGAAACTATGTGAGTTGTAAGAATATGACCTCTGAAGGCTTCGATTGAAAGGATCTGATTGTAGGTGGTACCACAACCGGTAGCACCCATGCCTCTGCAACCTGCACCTATTCCAACCGTTCCGGCTGTTCCTCAGTTTCCCACTCTGTATCAGCCTCAATTCATTCTCACCCCTTGCCAAAAGCAATGCATAAGAGAGTGTGGCACTTTCTGCGGAACCTCAAGAATGTGTCTGGACTCCTGCCAAACTGCATGTGGAGCACAGTGCAGCCAGGTTCAGTTCAACACCTGCCAGAACTCGTGCCAAAACCAGTGCGGAGGCGTTTGCTCGTCACGGCCATGCATGAACTCTTGTAACGCTCAGTGTCGCTCTTCATGTAGTACTTGTACTCGAACTCCTTGTGTGGACACGGTAAGCACTGAGATCCTCTGATCTGCTACGATAATCCTTTTTAATGAATGATTTTTTGTTTTCAGGTTCCTACAACGCAGCAATCAACTTGTATGCATATTTGCCAACGCTACTGTATGAACAGCTGTCAATCTATACCATGGTTGGAACCTTGCCAACAACGATGCCAAGATATTTGCTCACAAGCATGTGATGTAGTACAACAGATCGTTGTAAGTGATCAATAGTCGATTATCCATAACTACCCGAGTGTCTGGTCCTCCTAGATAGTGTTATGTCTCAGTTATAGGATACGAGCATAAGGGACTTAAGACGAGTGAATTTTTATGACACACATTGTCCAGTGTCAAATCCTCGATTGATACCTGGCCAACAGAGCCTTAGATCCCCACGTGGTCGGTCGATCAGTTCCCCAGTATGCCTTCGCAAAGTCATACAGAGTACCGGTGGTAATCGTCTCGAGGCCGAAAGTGGAACTGATCAGGGCCGAACTGAATGACTGAATCTGTCCGGGTATGGTGCACTAGGATCGACATTGTCGCGTCGCGGCGAGAGCGACGTCACGAATGTAACAGTATGCAGCAGCAGGTATGAAATACAGGAACAAAAGGACTACAGTAGAATCATGCCCAGAATAATGATCGCATATCGTTTGAGCTGTATGAAGAACGCTAAAGCTGTAATAAAAGCGAAGCGAATGGTCCGCGAAAACCGCGTGCGGCGAATCGATTACACAATACCGATCCTACTGCCCGTCTCCCACTTTGTCCCCTACCTCACAGTGTTTATTTCTAGAAGATTGACCAGTTCCCAAATATTTTTTTACTGTCCATGTTTCAGACGCCTTGTTCGAATTCGATTTCTGGCTGTGGCTGCTCTCGCGGTTTTACCTCATGTGGTTCTGGGACCTGCTGTCGTGCATAAAATCATGTAAATTGGGCTGGACTTGTATGGGGAAGGGCAACACTACTGGATTGTTTACTCTCAACTATATTTGAAAATATTACAAATCAGTAATCAACAATCATTTGAAATTGTTACAAGTCAGTAATCATCAATTATTTGTTATAATAAATCAATTCAAAAATGATCAATTTTTTTCAAACGCTTAACAGCGTACCCCGTCGTTACTTGTTGGAAGGGTGTCACTTGTATAAGTGGCTGCTCAAGAAATTATTTCAGGACAAAAGCATGACATAAATGAAAACAAAGCAACAGGGGTAAAATTGCACAGACTGTGAAGGCAAAATTTAACATATAGACTTTAGAACCCAGATCATTTCATTCAAGTCACGCCATGCACTCTACTTCCAAGCAAACTCGTCACCATTCCGAGCGGCGATTAGCCAATGAAAGCTGCTGATGAAGGTGGCTGATCTCTAGATGGATACCTTTCTCCAGAAGTGATGAATATTGTAGCGATAAGTTAGATAGCCAGATAGCTAAGGAACGAAAAGCCTAGTTGGTTCAAGCATCTTTTCACGGAAGTAGACCTACACCCTCAGTATCTCTGCCAATATTTCTGACCCAGAAATAATAACTGTGAATATAGTCATGAAAAAAATATATTATACTTATCTCAAAGCCCAACTTGAAGGAGGCGATGGTGCTGAAATTTCCTGAATACTTTCTTCTTGTACGGCTGCTAAGACAGGTATTGACTGTTTTACCTGAATTTATTACCTTTTCAATATCACCTTACCATGGATTTTCCTTTGTGTGCAGGTCTTTTCATTTAGGATTCACGGTTACCGTAGCTCCGAACCCCACTAGGCAATGATTAAGGTCGTTTCCCCATCCTTTGAATGCTCTCAAATATTGTTCTATGTTTCCAGCCATCTGAATCGCCTACTACGGTAAAGTTCGTAGTGTTCAATCCTTTAATGATACCATTCAAGCATTACAGGGCCTACATTAAATGTTAAATAGACAAATTTAACATGCTTTATATTGTGGCAGACCAGATAACCTAGGGCAGAAGGACAAGGAGGCAGAACTTCCCGTTTTTCACATCAGTCTCCCCTACAATACAATCGGCTCAAAACTTCCCATCTTATTTT